TTAGTTAGTGATATGTCACATTTTTCGTCAGGTGATAGTAAAAGGTAGGCCAAGGTTGCTTCAAAAGAATGTGACGGAACTCTGTTGTACTTTCTCGAGAGAACTTCACTTTTTTTTTTTTTTTTTTTTTTTTTTTTTACAATAACGCCACATTTTTCAATTCATATCCACAACATTTCATTATAGACATAAATCGATTTGAAGAATGTAAAGTATGCTTTGGTTTTTCACACGCAATCACGCACACGAGAAGATAATAAAACAATCAATAGATATCCAAGCCAATCAAACACAATTTAACTACTGAAGAACAGCAAACCTGAGTTTTGCCTTCTAACGAGAAAGCGGTTTAAAAAGGGTTAGAAGCCATGATTTATAAGCCAGGAAACGGTTGTATTTCAGCCATTTTTATAAATTTTCATGTGTAGGTTATGTGCTCTGTATCCGGTAACACTATGAGGATCAAATAATGATCGAATGTCAAAGTCGTTAAAAATATCAACGAGATCTTTGCTTTCTCCATTTGTGTGATGACATTTAAACAGATTAATGACAAGTTGATATTTTTTCAGCTATGGGCCAAGTTTGCAGGCTAGAATTTGTGTTAGAGTATCCAAAATGACATTAGCCAGTCGATTTTGTGCTTTAAGGATCGAAACTCTATTTCCCCTATTCCGTATCATTTTATAAAGGAGTAACTGTTGATAGTTAACTTAACCACGGTCTTTTCTTGCTAGAATCTAGTATTTCCGAACTTTTCAGGACTTTGGGTCGGTTATTTTCACGAGCTCTAAACCAAACCGCGGTTTTACGCATGCAGCGAGCCTCAGGGATTCTCTATAAGAGGGTGGATTTAATCAAATAAATGTCCTTTAACTATTAGCTTTCGGCTAATGTTCAGATTCTGAAAGGTTCGGCTAAATTAAGATGGCTTAGAACGCAGTTTTGTAAGACAACGGCTAACTTTGATTAAATAATCGACCCTTTGAGGTTAAAAAAAGGAAACATTTGTGCATTAATTTGTGTCAGCTGAACAGATTTCCCGTTTGGGTCGGTGAGGGAAATATTTAGAACTCTCCTAACTTTAAAACTTGTGCTGAACTAAAACTGTGTAATGTATCGAGTGGAACCAACTCCATACAAGTACAGAAGCTGGATCAAATGAATTTTTCAATTTAAAAAATAGATCCCACATTGCCGTGATTCTGTTCAGTAACAAATCACAGATGACGTCAAATGTGGTTAAAACATGTTTGTACCATGTTTTGACGTCTTGTGTTATCTTGTACAGAACAAAATCACGGCAAAAATTAATTAATTTTTTTACTTGACGTAAAAAAGGAAAAAGTGAAAAAAAAAACAAAACAAAAAAGAAAACCAGAATGTTGTTAATGGTAACGTCATCTACGCGTGTCCTCCTATAGTTCCTAGGTGAGAACCAATAGAAATGCTTGTATAATTAAGGTAATAGTATAAAAGAGCCTAGCATTTGACCAACATTTATTTTGCGGATCGTTTAGATTGCGTGAAATCATGGATCAACTGGATACTGGAAAGGGTTTGTCAGCCACAGATATGAAACAGGAACTAGGAATCGCTGTCGCTATGTTGGACAAAGCATCGGTAGCAGCGACACCGGTACCTCTACGGGATTACAGGTAGGAATCACAATGTTTATGACAACAAGAGCAATACATCGTTTATGTTTGTATACGAAATAAGATTTTGAAGAGAATCACAAGAAAGAAGAGTCAACTCATCTGCTTCTCTTTAACAGAGGCGGGTTTACGCCCCCCCCCATGTATTTTGGTGCTGGAAATATTGCTAACGCAGCATAACATGACAACAAGAACAATACACCCTGTAAGCTTGTATATCAAATAAGATTTTGAAGAGAATAATGAAAAAGAAAAGACACCTTATCTGCGCCTCCTCAACCCCAAATCTCCGAGAGTATTTCCTAAACTTTGCCCACTTTCTTCACTCAATTGACGAAGAAAAGCGCGCGCAGAGGGGAGGGAAGGGAAGGGGAGGGGAGGGGGGCAAGGAGACATTTGTTGTGTTAACGGTGGTCCTTACCAGAGAGAAACAGTTTATTTAGTCCTTTCTATAGGTATGCAGAATATGAATAACTTTTTAACTTGTAAATTCGTATTATTTTAGAACTGAGGTGTATGGCTCTTTATTTTTAGCGATAAAAGCTAAGGAAATGCTGCCCGATGGAAAAAAAAATTTCCTTATTTCACTAGCACATTGTTGTTTGAAGAAAGGAATAGCTATGGAGCGATCACTCAGCCCACCCCTTCTGTATTAACTGTTGTGTGACTATTTTTCAGGGGGTCCACGAGCGCATTGAGTGAGCTTGACGATGAACTAGAGAGTAGCCTTTATTCCGATGACGTCAATGAGGAGGTGCGAGAATGGATCGCTACGACGTTTGCGCGAAGTACTCCAGGTCTGCGCAGAAAGAGCATAGCCAGGAGGCATACGTTTCGCAGCGTGGTACAGGCAGTAAAAGCAAGTCTTTACGTGAAAAGGTACGTTTTGCATCGCGCAGACGCCAATCAAATTTCTCGAGCGGTCAAACGTGACTCGTCTTTGGGGATGTGGGTGGTGGAGGGGGAGCGGGGGTGGGAAGGGGGGATCCGCAGGATTCTAGTTGCCTCAAGTTGAAAATTTACCTGATCCCCCTATAAGGCTCTATAATGTACATATGATCCTTCCTCATTGGTAAGTTGTTGGCAGTCAATATTCTAGCCCCCCCTGTTTATACTCTGTTAGCGAGGACTGATCCCCCTACACTCCCCCTGAAAACCATGTGATCCCTTTTCCCCTCTCCCCCCTCAAAAAAAAAACAACAACAAAAGCGCTCCGACCCCTTCCCTTGACCCCAAGGGAAAACATAACGACTGGTTCCTTCAGTAAAAAAAATAGAAGCCGACTGCCAATCTTTCAGGCCAAAGTAGCCACGTGTCCAAAACGTGGAACGTAAGGTGTAAACGCTACGTTTCCTTTCTTTCCCCTACGAAATCACATTCATTACATTTTGACAGCTTCTGCGTGGCTTCATCTGTCTTTTATAGAGTTTTATGAGAACTGACTGTTTCAATCGATCTCTGAACTCCTTCTGAGGTTTCGAAATACACGGCCGCAACGTCACCGTTAACGTTTCTTTAAATGCGAGGTACTCTTAGCGAAACAATTTCTAGACACATCATCGAGTGGTGAATCAGAGGCAAAATTTCAGGGAAAACATTTTTCACTGTTTCTTTCCTTGCAGGATATATCAAAATATGGCAATAAAATCGAAATTTCAAGTTCCAGAGGAAGTTCAACAATATTTTAGGGTTAGTATACATAATTATAATATGAGTCAAGTACAAATGCATGCTTAGTGGTGTTTCCTTTAACTGTATAGAAGTGATTAACATGTAACATCTCCCTATAAAATCCATACATTATCCAGCAAACAGGTAATGAGAATAGTCAAACTTATCCGGTAAAGTTTTTCTCTTGATCTAATACCAAATTCTTGTAACTAATGTAATAGGAATTGTGTAGCAGCTAGAGAAGAGAATTACCAATCAGATATTAAGATTTAAAGGGTTAATTTTAACTCCACCATGCATCGATCTATTATACCACTTCTGTGTCTCGCGGTCTCAGGCTAGACCTATACTGTCGTAGAAGTATGCAGTCGATGATCCGTCTGCCTCGATGTGGTCTTTTGGCAGACCTGAATAAAACAGGATTTACACGTTTTTGAAAGCCTTCATCATTATATTTACTCTAGATTATCTGAGGTAATCACCTTTTCGGATCGGAGGTTTCAATTACTTACGAATCACGATCGAAAGGCGCCCATTCGTATTTTAAATGTACCTTTTTTTTCTGCTTTCTTCTTCCTTCTGCTTTTCAGAATTTAGACAAGTGGACGTTTGATCCCTTTAAGTTTAGTGACCTGACCTCTGGAAATCCCCTCCGTTACCTGGGCCACGAATTATTCACTCGTTACGATCTCCTAGCGAAGTTTAAGGTGAGGTAACTTCTGCAAAACTTTCAAATTAAAACCGAATTCGTTCTTCATCTCCCCGTTCACGCCATCTTTCCGTTTTACTTGCTAAGCTCCCCAGAAATGGCAACAACTCCGCCCCACCCCACTCTGCTGATCTTGCAGTTTTCTCTGGGTTTGAAAATATTCACAGCGAAGTCGATAACTCATGACTAAAGTATCCGGTAAAACCCTTCAGATTGTTTGGTGCCAGCTCCTTTTGAATGGTGAGCCCCACATTGGTGTATTGCAACGGCACCATCATGTATGTAAATGAAAAAGATTTTCTAAGAAAAGGTCTCATATATGCTTTGGTAAGAGAAAGAAGTGCGATTTTGTACTGGTCAGCCTGCCGAAATCCTAATGTAAAGGTTGTCCTCTGGTGCAATACACACGGGGGTGTGGAGGGGGACCTATCTGTAATGAATTAACATCCCTCTTTGAGGGAATAGCAACGCTCTTTGTTGCTTCTTGCTGCTCTAAGTAACAACATGCTATTTCTTTAGTAACATCTGACAAGATATTATAATAAACAGTATGTTTCATTTTAGTCAGTTTGAATTGTGTACTGAACACTTATGACAATTTCCCACATCTAATAAACAGTAAACATTTAATAAACATCTAATAAACATTTAATAAACATCTCTTGCATTCGCCTTCTCCCCTTTTTTATAAAGCCTCCTCTTATATTACAGATAACATCTCCAACGCTGGATCGTTTTCTGGTAGCAATAGAGGACGCATACAAGAAACCTGGGAATCGTTATCACAACGAGTTTCACGCAGCAGACGTAACGCACTCTGTGCATTATTTCCTGTCACGTGTTGGACTCATGGTAAGACTCGTCACGCTCTCTTCGCACTTTACTTGCTTCAGAGCTGAGACGTTACGAATTGTGATAATAATTTTCTGTCTCGCAATAGATTGATGATAAGTCAAGTAACGCCATGCTCCTTCTCATTCCAGGACGTGCAAAGCTATTGATTGAGTTTTTTACCTTTGTCAATGAGCTAATAAAGGAATTGGTGGGATATGCAGTGCCTAATGGTCAGTGCGCGTGACTCTGGGGCGAGGGGTTTGGCTGGGTCGAGAGGTCTGGGTCGAGAGGTCTGGGTGTTTTGTTCTTGGGCAGGGCACTTTATTCACCCAGGAGTTTAAATGGGTACCGGCGAATTGTCAGCGAAGTCTGACAAAACGCTGCGGGGGGAGGGGGGGGAATAACTTTGCGATGGACTGGTCTCCTATCTAGGGGTGAGTAGTAAGAAGCCCGGTCACTTCAGTGCTGTAAAAACCTGTGTATGCTCAGACTGGATAGGCCTCTCTTTTGCGAGTACAGACATTGCCTACTTGATAAACGAAGTGAAAACTTACAAAATTTCATTGCTTATTTTTTTGCAGCATTGTATGAGTGACTTAGAAATATTTGGATTATTACTCTCTGCCATTATACACGACGTGGATCATACGGGAACTACAAACAACTTTCACGTTAACTCCAGGTACTTCCTTATTCCTGTGCAGTTCTTTATCAGCAACGCATTTAGCCTGCGAACAGGCCATAACTGTTAGAGAGATTTAGCACTGCGTCTACGTGAAACGGCAAACGTCAGCTCTCCCTTTCACGTTTCTCGTAAAATAGCGCGAATCTTGCTACTTAAGCTTCGCGTGAGCTCACTCATGGGGGATTTGAAGGCACCCTTGTATGATTTCCAACGAATAGTTTTGGTGCCTTTTTTTGCGGTTATTAACTTCTCTGTGAGAGAAAAGGTGAAGAAAATCCTACCTACACGACAAATTCGCTCTGACGAAGGGCTAAACGTACGAAACGTCAGCTTTTTAATTTAGAATTTCAACTCAGTTGATATAACCAAACACGAAACAGGTTACTTTCACGTAAAATTGACAAAGCGTAACCGGCAAGCATGAAAAAATGGCGGGAAAACAAGGTCACGTGGTCACTCTTGCTTTTTACATTTCACGTGAACACGGTGCTAAATCTTTCTATTGTATTTTCGACCCGCGGGGAAACTAGGAGGTCTTGAGGAACGTCAGCCGACAAGAGGGTCTGCAATGGGTCGAGCAATCCTTCATTATTGGTACCAGACCCCTGGCAAACCTCTCCCCGACTCGTCTCCAATCTTCCCTCTGGCGACGAAATGCACATTCTGCAGCGCTAATAGTGAGTGCGTGCTTGCAGGCTATGAGGCGTAGTGTTTGGGTTTAATTACATTTCATGAATAACGTGATTTTTCTGGTATTACTTGTTAAGATCCGAACTCGCGTTGCTGTACAATGATCGATGTGTGTTGGAGAATCACCATTTGTGCTGTGCATTTACGCTTTTGAAATCGGTGAGTTTACCATGATTGAGGGGCAAGTCATTATTATTCATTGCTGGGGAGAGGGGAGGGGAGGGAAGGGGGAGGATTTTGAGGACATGAAATGGTATTTAGGGTGAACGCAATGGAGGATCAGTCGTTTTCGTTATGACCGGTTCCTAAATATTCAGCGTATCTACTTTTTGCGTCTTGTATTTACTATTTTCTCGCTGGTGTGCCTATGAACGGTAATTTGTGGAATACCAATAAAAAAAACACAAACCGAAAAAAAAAAGAAATAGCAAATTATTTTGTGCTTTCGGGCTTCAGCTGTATTCAAACGTTATGAGTTGTCAAAGCCGCGCGAAGCCTGTCAACTTCGTCAAATGTGGATGTGCAGTTTTTGCGACAAATCATACTTATCACACGACTCGGGAAGTCAGAGGGCCAATAACTAAAATCAACCAATCAAAATGCTCTATTGCCGGTCCAATATTCTCTAAGTATTGGACCGGGCACTGTCCCGAATGGTCCCGAATGATACCGCACTTGTGTCCCTTTGAACTTCAGTCGTATAATAAATCTCTTATTAACCAAGCTTGCTCGGGACCGTACTGGAAGAATATCGGCCCTCGGTCTTTTTTGTATGGACCTCGCTGCGCTCGGTCCGTACTGTCAAGACCTCAGGCCGATATTCTCCCAGTACGGCCCTCACGCTTGGTTAATAAGATATATATATATAGATATCATACATATGTAACCCTTTGACCCCTAAGAGTTAAAAGCATCCAATTTCTCCTTGCAATATCCCCCTCATATCAACCATTAAGGTCACGAGAATACAGTAAATGATCACCAACTAAAGAAGCTCTTGACTGTTGAACGAGTACTCTTTGTCAGCATTTTAGGAAATGCCTAGAGAACAGTACGAAGAATATAAATATTGATCTTATGGTGTAAAGGGTTAGTGAACTGTTTGTTTTTGTTTTTCCCAAGCGAGAGCTAGACATCCTTGCAAGTTTGACTCCAGAACAGTACAGGTTCGTACCTCGACTACTGCGCATACTTTTGATCCATGATGTAATTGACCAGTGGTGATTGGCTTAATTTTCTATAAAGTGTTGAAAGTAATCTGGGATTGCTTTGGTTTTGCTTTACTTTGCTCTTTGATTTGTCCAGAAACTCGGCTCGTGTCACTCTCTCAACTAATCAAATGCAAGACTTACACGAATCACGACTTAGTCACCCACGCTTTAGGCAGTGTACTTGTTTTAACTTCGGATTCTATTTGGCTAAGGGTATTTTCTTTTCTTCTGATTGGCCGTTGTAAGTACTTTGGTTTTTGGTTTTATGACACTCAATCGAAAGGCGCGCTATAGTACTTCAGTGGAAGAATACAAGGTTTGATTTGTCTCTAACTTCCTACTTAACCTTAAGAATACCATACTTATCCACTTCTGTCTCATAGTTCACGTTATAAATGACTTTTTTTCAGTGAATTACGTACCCTAGTCGTAGACATGGTACTAGCGACCGACATGTCATCGCACTTTGAACAACTCAGAGCCATGAAAGCCACTCTTACAGTCCTCGGAAGGTAGGCCATCTCGTCGTCTTGTCGTCCTGTAAATTTGGATGTAATTTAAGATACTTCAGTCTGCGTAAGGAATTTGGTCTTTGACCAAACGCAATCTGTCATCGACTAAACGACGCCTGGAATAGGGGGTTAAAACTGTCCTTCACCGCCGCCTCTGAATCTGCACCACATCTAAGAATTGGGGCCCTTTTCGGGGAGTATAACTAAATCCAAGTAGGGTCTTTGTTTTTTTTCCTGCACAAATTAATTTACTTTAGTCTCTTTCTCATCAACTCCTCTTTTGGACTCTGATTACGAGAGCCGAGAACTAACATTGAAATTTTTGCAAGCATTGAGCACACTAATACTGAGTGTAAGCCCATTTTTTACACCAAAATGATATCCTGTACGACATTCGAAAATGATTCTAATTTGCTCGGCTGTCAATGTTCCCTTGATTAACGCTCTCCCCCCTCCTCCGCCATATTTGGTAGCACCGCATTTGGGTCGCAAAAATATAATCAACGTCGAGGTCGTCAAGGTTCCTTTAAATTTAAACTTTTGTCACATAAATGTAAAAAATCAGAATCTAGGCCTCGACATTTAATTTTTTTTTTACATTTTCTAGTCAAGTAGAAAAGAGTCAAGCATTAGAGTATATTCTTCATGTGGCTGACATTAGCAATCCAGCGAAGGATTGGGAACTACATCGACAATGGACTTCTCGCATCATGGAAGAATTCTTTTGTCAAGTGCGTGAAATGCTTTTAACTTGAAACTCAACTCTGTTAGGATTCCTAAGCTTGCATTTCCTAAGCAGAACTCGGAAAATAACTCCCATTTGTTCATCCATTGCACACATACGATGTAATTGCGGCTATTAATGATGAGTTCTTTTTCCATACCATAGGGAGATCGTGAACTTGAAATGGGATTGCCAATATCTCCACTGTGCGATCGTTCCGTTACTTGTATTCCAGAGAGTCAGCTAGGTACGTAAAGCGTACAAAATATCATTCGTTTGTCCCTTGCCGCCAAACACGAGGTGACAAATTGATCTTCACACTATCAGGAAAACTGCATCTTAAGTAGATTCGAAATAGAAGTTTTTAAATAATTTAGGCTTCGACTTTGGCTGAACACGTGTCTTTAGTACGCTACTCGAAAGAGTTTTTAACCCGCTAACTCACAAGAGCGACTAAACTTTAACCGGAAATGACAAATTTCTATGAATTTCAAGCTTTAAAAGGTTAATTTAGTTCTTCCTCATTCTGTTTCTTCAGGTTTTATCGAGTTTGTTGTCACGCCAGCATTTGACGTGTGTAGCGAGATGCTGGACTTGTTACTGGAAACGAAGACATCACAGGCTGCGGCAGATCTTGGCATAGAGGGGTTTGGAGGCAAGGAGAGAGCCTGGGTGGCACCTCTGGCTGATAACAGGCGAAGATGGAAGGAACAGTGCCAGTCCTCTACAAGAGGTAACCTAGGAAGGTGTTTCCTTAACCGTCAGCCAACAAGAACGCCGGTTAAATTGATCAGTAGAAGACAATAGTTGCGTACCAGCGTTTAGGAACCGGTCGTTATTTGTCAGTCAACTTTCTATAGTCCCCCTTTATCATCTGTTGGCTACGACTGATTACTCTCCCTTCCCCCCAGAAAACCATATGATCCCCAAAAATTCCCCTCTCTTTCCACCTCCTAGGCGATGAATAAAAACTGGTCTTTCAGTAGGAATTTATCACTTTTTCTAATTTATCTATTTTAGAAGGAATGGCAGAAGCCCGTTCACCATCAAACCTAAGCTTACTGAGCCGGTCTTCGGTTGGCGTGACCGAAGACGAGAACAAGAACAAACAGAGTCCAAGAAATAGCAAGCCTCTCCTGACTCCAATTATCTCCTAACACTACCCCTCAGAGGAGTAGTGGAAGCATCGCCCCAGGTCTCGAGCGGGAGACAAAAATTCAGGCGCCCACCGACTGCATGAATTTTGGGCCATCTATGGATAACCTTATTTTTATGTCTCCTGTCGGTTTAACCGAAATCTGTCAGCAATCACACAACTTACGCGTTGTGCAACTTTACACAAGTCCCCGCCTGTTGTCAGTGGAGTTGTACTCTCACAGAGGCCTGTGAACGAGGTGCAACTCTCGGACTTACGGTGTTACTTGTAAGTCCATGCGATCTTGCCACCATATATCTGGCGAGGCCACAAAGCATTGATAATCATTTTTATGATGGCAGATGAAATAGGCCGATAGGGGAAAAGAAGTAAGGGGTAAGAAAGGTTGGGGCGAGAGGG